AAATTACACATCAACCCTTAGCTCACACCATACCACAAAATAAAATAAAATAACTCAGAGTGGATCATAGACCTAAATGTAAAAGTTAAAACTATAAAAGTCCTAGAAAAAGACCTAGAAGAAAATCCCTGCAGCCTTGGAGTAGGCAAGGATTTTTTTAAGACACAAAAAACATGAACCAGACCACAAAAAGTGATAAATTGGAATTCATCAACATTCAAAACTTTTGGTCTTTAAAAGACACTATTAAGAAAATAAAAAGGTCACACAGCATAGGAGAAAAATATTTGCAATACCGGTAGTCCCCAACTTACAAGATATTTGAGTTATGAAAAACTGCACTTAACTACTATCTGTTTTTGTTTTTGTACATCTTATCATTATTAATATGTGTTATATACAATGCCTGGGAGCTCTGGTAGCATAGTGGCTAAGGCACTTGACTGCTAACCAGAAGGCTGGCAGTTCAAGCCCACCAGCCACTCCTCGGAAGGACGGTTGGGCAATCTACTTCCATAGTGATACTGCCTCGGAAACCCAAGGAGGGGTCGCTATGAGTCGGGTCTGACTTGACGGCACAACAACAACAAGTCAATGCCTAAGACATCTACTAGCCAGAAGGCTGGTGGTTCAGACCCACCAGCCACTCCTCAGAAGGAAGACTGGGCAATCTACTTCCATAGAGTAGATATAGAGGTGGTATACCTCAGAAACCCAAGAAGGGGTTGCTATGAGTCAAACAGACTCAACAGCAGGGAGCTTGTTTGGTTTTTTTTTTTTTTTTCCTTACATATACTGTTGTGGTGCATAATTTGCTGATGTCATTCTTACATGTTCACTTGCAGATGTTCAGTGTTATGATTTACTATTCAAAACACTGCTGTATAGCAACCTGGCCTACAATGAAGTTGGTGCCAGGAGTCATCAGGAATAGAAAGTTGGGCAATGTTGAACCCTAACAACAAACGGCAGTTGAACTGCACACGTGCCCAACAGCCTGTATGACTCTGACTTCATTGTTACAACACTGATGCCAACTTTGTTGTAGACCTGGCCTGTAGTGTGATCTTATTCAGCATTTTATACAATCAGATGCATCAGTTGGGAATTCAGAGCTGTTGTTCAAGTTTCTCTGACTATAACAGCTGGACGTTTATACCCCCAATTATGTCTAGCAAAAGAAGTCATGCTACTATGAGTTCTAATCCAAAAAAGGTGAGGAAGGCTGTATACTTGAATATAAAGATGAAGATCATTAAGGTCTATGATGATGGAAAGAAAGTTGGCAAACAGCACATGAGAAAAGACTGTCTCATTCAACCATTTAGACAATCTTTAAGGATAAGAATAGGGTTTTGGAGGCAGTAAAAGGAGTGATTGGCATAAAATCTACAATTTAACAATGAAGAGTTGAGTGCCAATCCATGAGATGGTGAAGCTGTTGATGATTTGGATAGAAAATCAAATCCAGAATAGGACTCCTGTGAGTTTACTAATGATTTAAACAAAAGCATGCAGCCTTTTTGAAAATCTGAAGGAACAGCAAAGAGAAGACCAATGTGAGTAGTCTGGTTTCACTGCTTCAAGTGTAGATTTGGCTTATGTACTATACATATATGTGGGAGCTCTGGTAGCATAGTGGCTAAGGCACTTGACTGCTAACCAGAAGGCTGGAGGTTCAAGCCCACCAGCCACTCCTCAGAAGGAAGATTGGGCAATCTACTTCCGTAGTGATACTGCCTCGGAAACCCAAGGAGGGGTCGCTATGAGTCAGGTTCGACTCGATGGCACATAACAACAACAACAACACTATACATATACTGGAGAAGGAAGCCCTAATGCTGAAGCTGCCAAAAAATTTAAAGATGGGTTGGATAAGATAATACAAGATGAAGACTGTCTACCAGAGCAGATTTTCAATGTGGACAAAGCAGGCTTGTTTTGGAAAAAAATGTCAGAACGGACCTATACTCACAAAGAGGTGAAGTTTATGCCTGGTTTCAAGGCATTTAAAGACAGAATAACACTGCTGCTTGGAGGAAATGCCACTGAATTTAAGTTAAAACCTTTTCTTATTTACCATTCTGAAACCTCCAAGCATTCAATTGGTCATTGATGATCATTGCTTGTTGTTGTTGTTGTTGTTAGGTACTGTCAAGTTGTCTCCGACTCATAGCAACCCCGTGCACAGCAGAACGAAACACTGCCTGGTCCTGTGCCAGCCTCCTCATCCTTGCTATACCTGAGCCCATCATTGCAGTCAGTGTGTCAATCTATCTTGTTGAGGGCCTTCCCCTTTTTCATTGACCCTCCCCTTTACCAAGCATGATATCCTTCTCCAGGGAATGGTTCCTTCTGACAACATGACCAATGTAGGTGAGACGAAGTCTGGCCATTCTCACTTCCAAGGAGCAATGTGGCTGCACTTCCTCCAGAATAGATTTGTTAGTCCTTTTAACAGTCCATGGCACTCTTTGCATTCTTCTTCAACACAATTCAAGAGCATTGACTCTTCTTTGTTCTTCCTTATTCACTGTCCAGCTCTCATATGCATAAGAGGCTATTGAAAATACCATGGCTTGGGTTTTGTACACCTTAGTCTTCAAAGAGACATACTTGCTTTTCATCACTTGAAAGCAGTCTTTTGCAAATTTGCCCAATGCAGTATGTTGTCTGATGTCCTGACTGCTGCTTCCATTAGTATTGACTGCAAAACCAAGTAATATGAAGTCTTTGATAACTTCAATCTTTTCTCCATCCAGCGTGAAGCTGTTTATTGGACCAGTTATGAGAATTTTGGTTTTCTTAATTGTGAGGTGTATTCCATACTGCCGATTGTAGTCTTTAATCTTCATCAATAAATGCTTCAAAGTCATCTTCATTTTCACTAAGCAAAATTGTGTCATCTGCAGATCGCAGGTTGTTAATTAATCTTCCTCCAATCCTGATGCCATGTTCTTCTTCATATAATCAATCTTCTTGGATTATTTGCTCAGTATGCAAATTGAATAAGTATGGTGAAAGAATACAACCCTGACACACTCTCTTCCTGATTTTAAACCATGCAGTATCACCTTGTTCTGTTCAAACAACAGCCTCTTGATCTATGTACAGGTTCCTCATGAGTAAAATCAAGTGTTCTGGAATTCCATTCTTCTCAATGTTATCCTTAATTTATTATGATCCACACAATCAATGCTTTTGCATTGTCAGTAAAACATAAGTAAACATCTTTCTGGTATTCTTTGTTTTGAGCCAAGATCCATCTGCCATCAGATATCCCTCATTCTACGTCCTCTCCTGAATCCAGCTTGCATTTCTGGAAGCTCTTGGTCAATATGCTGCTGCAACCATTTTTGAATTATCTTCAGTAAGATTTTACTTGCATGTGATATTAATGATATTGTTTGATAATTTCCACATTCTGTGGGATCACCTTTCTTTGGAATGATCCAATGATATGGATCTCTTCCAGTCAGTTGGCCAAGTAGTTGTCTTCCAAATCTCTTGGCATAGCTGAGTGAGTGCTTCCAGTGCAGCATCCGTTTGTTCAAACATCTCAATAGGTATTCTGTCAATTCCTGGTGCCTTGTTCTTCACCAATTCCTTCAGTGCAGCTTTGACTTCTTCCTTCAATACCATTGGTTCTTGATCATATGCTACCTCCTGAAATGGATGAATGTTGACCAATTCTTTTTGGTCATTGCCTAGATCCATTATGTTAGGTAAACGTTTTCTGTAAAGGGCTAGACAATAAATCTTTTCAGCTTTGAAGGTCATATGATCTCTGTCAGTACTACTGAACTCTAGCATTGTAGTATGAAAACAGCCATAGATGATGTGCAGGAAAAAAGTGACTTTGTTCCAATGAAGTTTTATTAAAAAAAAAAAAAAAAAGACAGTGCACCAGATTTGGTATATGAGCTATAGTTTGTAGACCCCTGCTTTATCCTAATATGTATGATAATTTTAGGAAAAAAATACTAATATTAGTACAAACAATAAAACAGTTTAAGATTTTTTGTGTGTTTACTCTTAGGATATATTCTACTAAGAATATTCAGACAAATTATTGTTTTAAAGTCACATGAAATAATTCCTCTTTGTGGTAATGCCACCAACTCCATACACAAAACCATTTGTTTCATTTTGCTTTTACTTTTTAGAGACTTTTTTCTTCACTTTATTTTATAATCATTCCTTTCCCAACTGACATAAATTTTTTTATAATTTTAGATGAATCAAATGTACAAAAAATCAAATACACAGAACAAGATATATTTGTAGAAGTCTCACTCTTGTCCTTGTTTCTCTGTACTGTTTTCTTGCCCCTGATCAGAACACATGGGAATCGTATTTACATAAAACCAAAACCAAACCTGCTGCTATCATGTCATTTCTGACTCATAGCAACCCTGTAGGACAGAGTAGAGCAGCCCCATAGTGTTTCCAAAGCTGTAAATCTTTATGGAAACAGACTGCTTCATCTTTTTCCCATAGAACGGCTGGTGAGTGCTGGTGGGTGAGAACTGCCGTCTTTTAGTTAGCAGCCAACTGCTTTAACCATGGCACCACCAGAGCTCTTTGTAGTTATATATGTAACGAAATTTTAAAAAATAATAATTTGTGGTTTAATCCTTCTATTTTAAAAAATATAAGCAAATCTCTCTCTCTTTATATATTTTTACCTCTTTGCTGAAATAAATAAATGGTAGCACACGATACACTTTCTCCACTTTTCTCTTCTCAGGTAACAATATATCCTGGATTCCTCTACAGTCATATATAGAAATATTCTGCATGTAGTATTCATTGTGTTGACTGCCAGAGTTTGTTCAGCTAGTTCTCTATTGATAGACATTTAGGTTGTTTCCAGTGGAGTAAAGGCATTCTTTCAAATCACAGGGACAGCAAAATCAAACAGACAAATAGCTATGCAAACAACCAACATTTTTTTTTAATGGCAATTTATAACTTTTCTAATGTTTTTCAATTTACAGAAGGAAGAAAAAAAATGAAATGACTCCAGATTTCAGCCGACAGTTAAACGATAAGAAAAATAAATTGCAGGACAGATCTAAGCTAAGAAAAGCTCAGTCATTGGTAAGTATTGCTTATGAAAGATTCACCACCATAAAGTTAATGAAAATCTCTGGATTGTTAATCCTATTTGCAAAATTGAATTTTTTTTTTTTTTAATCACAATCATCAAGTCGTGGTTTAAGTTGTGATCTTTGACACTGACTGGCAGCTATGTGACTTCAAAGAAGACCTTTATTTAATCTTTCTGAGCTTCTGTGGTTTCCCCCCCCACTCTTTTTTTTTTATTTTAAACTGGTTGAAATGGTATGTATGAAACTGCTTTGAAACTATAAATGCGTATGTAATGTAAAGAGAGTATTATTATCATTAGTTCTTTCTTCTGCAGTGATTCCTTTGAGGGAGGGGAGTCCCTGCCAGAAATTACTCATATATAGCATGCAGGTTCCTGTGACCTAAGAAGAAGGTAACACTTTGCATAGCTTTGTTGCTGCCAGGGGAGCATGTATAAAATTGCATTTAGAGTAACTTCAGAAAAATTAATTAAGAACTTTTCTTTGTCTAATTAAAAATTAGCTAATTGTCTACTTAATAAAGTCAATAATTGTGGCTAGGGAGTGTTATCATTTCATAGCACAATTTCCCAAATTGGGGTTCAGTACCCCAGTACAGCCCTGTAAGCACATATGATGAGCATCTTTGGAGCAAAGTAGAAGGGAATAAGAGTGGAATAAAGAGTAGCAAAGGAGCTCTGGTGGCATACTGCCTAAGGCATTTAACTGCTAACCAGAAGGCTGGTGGTTCAAACCCACCAGCCATTCCTGGGAAGGAAGGTTGGGCAATCTACTTCTGTAGTGATACCACCTCAGAAACCCAAGGACAGGTCGCTATGAGTCGGGTCCGACTCGACGGCACATAACAACAACAACACATTAGTAGCAAGGATTTAGGAAGAAAACCAAGGATATACATTTAAGGAAAATTATTATAAAATGAATGTCAGTTGGTAAAGGAGTAAGTGTGTACTCATGAATAAATCACTTTTATAGTTCTGCTTTAAAGCCCTATTACTTTCTGTTTAAATTGTTTTCAGGTGTTATGTTCTAAAAAAAAAAAAAAAAAAGATAAGGCTTCTTAAAGTAGGGTAGTCTATATACTAAGGGACCAATTTTGTTGGACTGGATGAGGCTTATCATAGGTGAATGTACAGATGCACAGGGAATCACAAAGCTTAGAGCAAAGCAGTAAAGATGTCAATGAAACCATTCATTAAGAAAAATACTTTATGAGGCTTATCACACAGACCATTGTGGTATGCTTCTGCCTGGTTTCCTTGCTCCCAGTAGGCCAAGAGTAGAAGAGAAATCCAGGGGAAAATAGGAAATTCAAAGTACAATAAAAGTTGATGATGATCTCATGCTTACAAATTACCAGTACATTCAAAATTTTTTTCCTGCTTAAAAACAAACCAAAAATGAAAAAACACAAAGGCTAAACAGAAACCATCCCCACGGCCTTTTGATATTAACCATCTGTCAAGCACTAGCAGGGCTTAAGTTGAAGTATTTGTTATAAATTAAAAAGTTGTGCCAATTAGGCTTAAAGAGAAACAAGGGTAAATTAAGCAATGACCAAGAATAACTAGCTATTAATAAATGAAGGCAGGAGCTCTGGTGGCATAGCGGATAAGGCACTTGACTGCTACCTGGAAGGTCAGTGGTTCAAAGCCATGGAAAGAAGACAGGGCAATCTGCTTCCTTAAAGATTTACAGCCTTGGAAACCCAATGGGAGTCATTACGAATCAGAAACGACTCGATGGCAGTGAGTTGTTATTTTTAAATGAAGTACCCGATGGTGTCTATTTGCTTGTAATTTTTTTTATAAATATACTAATTATGATCACTATTTATGTTTAGTGGTTTTGATAAAGTGCATAAGGCATAATTAAACCCCCCCCCCCCCGAAATATGCTGTGATCTTTGATCTGGTAATAGTGCCTATGATAAGCTTGGCTGTTTGAGCCATAATGCTGTGTATGGCTAAAGCCCCTTTCTGCATGGTAGCAGTTTACTCTCACTGTGGGCCACATGCCTCACAGGAAATAAGCAACCTCCTGAGTGATGCAAGATTATGAATTTAAGAAATGCTTGGATCTGCAGCCTGAGAGAAGAGGAAATGGATATGGAGGAAATTTAATTAGGGAGCCTAAAAGTCCTTAGGTAGCACAAACAGTTTGAGTTCTACTGCTAACCTAAAGGTTGGTGGTTCAAATCCACCAGAGGCTCTATGAGAGAAAGGCGTGGCAATTGCTTCCATTAAGATTACAGCCAAGAAACTATATGGAGCAGTTCTATTCTGTAACACATGGGGTCACCTGAGTCAGAATCGACTTGACAGCAACTAAGAACTACAACATCTAGGAAGATTTCAGGAGAATTGAGAGAAACAAGATAGCAGGTGAAACTTAGGGAAGCACATTATAAAGGCAAGGATGAAAGTGACATATCCCCAGAGCCCTGACTAGAAAGTGCCTGAGACTTACCATTCCTTGTTCCTGTAATAGGAAGGGGGATCTGTGATACTTGAAGACGTAAAGCTTAATTAAACAGAAAGTTTAATAAACTCTTCCAACCATACCCTTGGAAGAGACAAAAGCACACGGGTGTAAAGAGGTGTAAAGAATACTCCTTATGGCATCTCTCCAGCATGGTGACTATCAGAGTACTGAAACCATCTTCACTTTTTTTTGTAATTACTTAGATCCTTTAATGGTGAGAGTTCTCTCTAAAAAAGGAAGCATTCTCAGTTAAACAGCTTCAAATCTATACATATTCCTGTGAGCTTGTGGGTTTTTTTTTTTTTTTTAATTGTGCTTTGGGTGAAAGTTTACAGAGCAAATTCATTTTCCATATAGCAGTTCATACACATTTTGTTTCATGACATTGACTATAATCCCCACAGTATAACAGCTCTCTTCCCACTTCCTCCCTGTAGTTGCCTCTTCCCTGTGTCCTTCTTTCCTATACATTCCTGCCCTCTGAGCTATCTCCCTGTGCAAATATTGCCCTTCTGTTCTCTCATGATTAATCATTCTAAGGAGTGTATGTATCTACCTGGTATAAATAGTCACCCTATATGCCCGTCTGTTGTTTGGCTGTAAGCCACAGGTGTGAGTTCATTTCCAGGCCCGAAGGGTAACTAGGGGCCACAGTCTCAGTGGTTTCACCAGGCTCTATCAGACCAACTTGGTCTTTTTATGATTAAGTTTTGTTCCACATTGTCCTCCCACCCTATCCTGGATCTCCTGCACTAATCCTTTTCTGAGTGGTTGACAGTGGTAGCTGGGCATCATTTAGTTGTTCTGGTCTCATAGTCATATAGGCTGAGGTTCACATGGCCCACTAGTCCCTTGGACTTCTTGTTTCTGTGTGTCTTTGGTTTTCTTCATTCTTCTTTGCTCCGGACGAGGAGAGACCGATTGTTGCATCTAGATGACCACTTACAGAGCTTGTCATGTTTGCTGTCATTTAATACGTTTGTGTTTTCGAAGTCATCCCCTAAAAGTGTATGTGATTTCCTCTTATGCTATCAGTTCCAGAGGCAACCACAAGACCTCCCTTGTTACAGTTGCTTAATTTAACCAGAAGTTTTGGTGTGAATAATTGAAAGAAGATGAGAATAAAGCCTAGATCTCATCATTAAGGCTTTCTAATTTTGAACACTGTTTATTAAAATTATATAAATATCAAGAAATCCCCATTACAATTTTTTTTTAACATTTTGTTGTCTGGGTAAGAGCTTAAAGAGAACATACATTTCCTTTCGATTTATACACATTTTGTTTTGTTAACATCAATTGTAATCCCCTCAATGTAACCGTGCACTTCCCATTTCCTCCATGGTTCCCTGTTCCCATTCACTATCTTTCTTATTCCTTCCTGCCTTCTGAACTTTATATTCGGGGAAATGTTGGCCTTGTGGTCTCATATGGTTAATTGTTCTGAGAAGCATATTCCTCATGGATGTTATTGTTCATTTTATAGGCCTGTCTATTGTTTGGCTGAAGATGATCTCCAGGAATGAGTTCTGGCTTTGAAAGGATTCTAAGAGCCATAGTCTCTGGGTTCTAGTGGTCTCTGTCAGACCAGTAAGTCTGGTCTTTTTATGATTACGATTTTGAATTTTTTTTCTATATTTTTCTCCCATTCTGTCCAGGACCTTCTATTATAATCCTGATCAGAGCAGTTGCTCCATTACTATTTGATATAATAAAATTCCATACAGAAAAAAAGCAATTTAAAAATATAAACTCCTAGGGATATGGAAAAAATGATCACTAACTTTATATGGAAAGGAAAGAGACCTCGGATAAGCAAAGCACTACTGAAGAAGAAAAACAAAGTAGGAGGT